TGTGGCATGTTGCCACCTGTTAATAAAGAAACCATACTCACGCTCCCCATCTTTCTTTCACACAGCTCTGTCCATAAAAGTGTGGTTCTTCCTTCCACTCAGACCAGGCTTCGGGTCCACATCTTGAAAACGGGAGAAACAAAAGTCAGTGTATAGAAAACAGCAATTGGCCTAGCAAGAAATTTTGTCACACAACAGGGCTCCAAATTCATTTTTGGGGATGGGTGCACAAAAAATATTTTGGGTGCACAGTATTAAAATGAAACAAGTGTCCATAGGCGACAATTCTCCGTGAAGTTTTATATTTTGCAGATTGAGAACAGTAATAGTGTATGTAAACAGTGTGTGATCACTTTAACAACTGGTAACAGCGTATCGTAAAAATGGATAAATCCCTGGTCTAATTATCTAGCCTGACTAAAAAATAACGCTCCTGGTGGCCACCTGCCCAGAAGTTTGCCCCCCGTCTTGGGGAAACAGTTGCAGACTGACTTAGTGTAAACACAGGCTACATAAAATCAACAACACACAATCTAAATAGATTAACAAAGTCAGCTTTCATAACAATATCTTTCATTCACTACATATTATTCATTTGACAAGGTATCGCAGTAGGTGCAAACCACAATCCCAAAAGATACCCACAACCATTATGCACAACAGCCACCTAATATCTGCTTAGAGAACCTCGGCTACCAGACAACTACCTAAACCTAGGGCCTATTCCACAGGATTGTAAAAGTAGGGATGTTTCTAAAAAATACATTTACTTCAATATCAAAACTGCTACGGTGAAAATAAAAAAACGTTAATCATCACGGACATAATGGTACACCACATGCCCAATTACACAGAAATGCTACGTACAGAACAATGCATTTTGGCTGCGAATATCTAGCAAAACATCTGGTACCACTGCGAGGTCCTGTGGACACAAACCCAACTTGCAGGAAGGCAACCACTGATAATAGATATATACTACAGACCCCCATCAGACCAGGGCAATAAGCTGGATGAACTTCACAGGTCAATAGGTACAATAGGAGCAAAAATAAACTCTGACAATGTGATCATTCTTGGCGATTTCAACACCCCTGGCATCAAATGGGATACTACTGTAGCTGACAACAGTCAGGCCTTAACACAGGCCACGCAGAGAAACTACTAAACCTAGTGGATAACCACGGGTTATTCCAAACAGTCCAGGAACTAACTAGAAATGGTAATCTCTTGGACCTGGTCTTGGTTAATAACCCCAACATAATTCAAAAGACTACAGTAGTTAGCCTCCTTCGCAGTCTTGTTGGGCGTGGGCGTAATTTTTTCTCTGAGCGACGCTAGTAATATGCCGCCGCGAGGGACGATTTGCTGCCGAGGGACTTTTGCCACGGAGAGAAGGTTTCCGCGCTCCAACAAGACTGCTTCCAATCGGCGAGTTAAAAGGACCTCGGATTAAGCCAGCCTTTCATAGAGGCTATTAACATGTTCGTGCAGGTCCAATTCACATGTTCGCGCAGGTCATACAAGGTGTGTTTTTAAACTTAACTCATGTCCGCGCAAGGGTAATTCATAGATACGCATGACACGCGCTCGCCTTTGTCAACGGTTGGTTTATTAGCTTGCGTTACGTTATAGTCGAAGGTTCCAACAGAGAACATTGGTAATGTTACAACAAAGCCATTGGTGTGCATATTTAAGCGTCCCATGCAAACAAACCAAGACAATTTACAGTACTATTTTTGCTGGTGAAATGTGCAATTCTTTCTATTACGCAACTTGCTGCGGAGCGGTGTGTTACCCTCCCATGGTCAGTGAGATCCACCCGCCACCAAACAACATGGCGGCACAATGTCTCCGGGATTTTGTTGAGTGAATAGGGCTCGGTTTTCGGGAATGGTTGGCGTTCTACCGACGGGTTGATCGGCGACCGCTGGAAAGTTACAAGTTTTGGCTCGTCGATCAACGGGGCGTGAACACCACCCTGCACTGGTGGCGTTTATTGCGGGAAGTTCACACATCCATGCCAATCGCTCCTAAGTGTTTTTTGATAGCCCTTTTAACTCGCCGATTGGAAGCAGTCTTGTTGGAGCGCGGAAACCTTCTCTCCGTAGCAAAAGTCCCTCGGCAGCAAATCGTCCCTCGCGGCGGCATATTACTCGCGTCGCCCAGAGAAAAAATTACGCCCACGCCCAACAAGACTGCGAAGGAGGCTAACAGTAGTCCCGTGAATAAAGTGACCATGACATGGTTCTAGTGGACGTTAACCTGGCACCGAAACAAAACAGGAAACCTAAGAGTAAGAGAAAAGTGTACATTCGCACAAAAGCCGATGAACCATCAGGAAAGACCTAACTGGACTATGCAAATAACTTTGAAAAAAGAACTCTGGAGTCTGACCACTTCTGTGTAACTGACATACATGTATCCTAAGACAAAATGAAACAGATGATGAACAAGCAAAACTAACGCTAAACAGACATTGGGAGTAATCAAACGTAATTTGTGGGCATGCCCAACTAGAGTAAAATCACTTGCATACACGTCACTTGTATGCCGCGACAGTATGGGATCCATACACAAAGAAAGACAAAGATAAACTGGAAAGGGTACATAATCAAGCTGCAAGATTCTGTATGAATAATTAAACTATGAAAGAGGTGCTAGTGTCAGAAGACAGAAGAAAAATGTCCAGACTATGCATGATGTACAAAATGACTAGTAAACAGGTGGACGTCCCAATCAATAAGTACCTAATACCAGCCCAGAAGAGAACAAGAAATAGCCAAGCCTTCAACTTCAAGTATCAGAGCTATCAACCAAGGATTGAGGCATTCAAGAATTCCTTCTTTCCTAGAACTATCGCAGAGTGGAACTCACTGTCACCAAGTACAGAAGGGGCATTGTCATTAGATTCTAGACATTGTTTAAACTTAAAGCTATGATAGCTTTAAACAATATCTAGAGTTAGATGTCCAAGGGCTAGGTGTAACAAGTTGATCGGTGTAATGTAGCCAGCTGCCGCTGCGCCGTGTGCCTGCAAAGCTGGTGTGTTACGCCGAAAGGCGGATATACCGGCTATACAGATACAGAATAGATTGTTGACATTTAGGTTTTTTTTTACTTGAACCTAAACATTTTTACAAGTCCGGAACCGGTCCAGCGAACCGGTACACAGCACTACATATTACACATATTTTATATATTACAGTATTATGACACTTTTTTTGGTGAATTTTGTTACACTGTTTGTATAGTGATTTGTTTATTGAATATTGCGTAATGTTACTTGTATTAAAAACTACACTGTCACATAACAAATACATAAGCCACAAAAATGGTGGTCACAGTTGCATAAAATTAAACAATAGAACTAGCACATATAATAAATTATACAATAAGGACCAAGATTGCATAGTTCATCCTCAAAATCAAATCAGTGCAACCACAGTGACTGCTTCATACAATAACAGATATGATTTGCCAATGAAGTATAAAATCCAGTAGAAAACCAATGTGACAATCTCTGATTCAAAAGCAAGGATAAACCAGCAAAAAAAAAAACGAAATTAAACTAATATATAAATGATATAACTGTTATGCATCCAGTTAATTTCAGCCTTGGGAAGTCTTGTTTAGTTTACGCTACTTTTTTTGGCGGGAATGTTGAGTGGATTTAATTATGCACACGTGCGGTACGTTCCAAAAGGTGTTCACTGGGGGCCAAACTGTGGAAATTTCCAACAAACAAAAAGGTGTTTGTAACAGTTTTAGCAGCGAAATTTGCTCCTAGCTTTTTTCAATGCCACTCAACACGGAAGAAATATATTCAGTACTCCCCAAAACCACGATAGTCATGAAAACAACCTCCCTATTAAAAATATTCAAGTACAAAATGGGCCCACATATCGTTGCACAAAACGCGAATTTTTACGGAGTATAACAGTTAACATAACGAATTAGTTAGTGGTCTGTTGCTACAGGTTTGTTGGAAGCAAAAATACAAGTACAAACATGTACATGTAAGGAGCTAATTTGTTGTCTTACCTCGCAAGAACGACCGGTCTTTTTCAGCACCACGTGCACGCCGCCATGGTAGTCACCATAATTTTTCGTTTCCAGTCTCCAAACTCCGCCCGCCAGCGCCAGGAGATACGGATTTTCTCCCTCAAACATCCAAAGAACGGCACACATCCGACCTGGAAACGCCCAGACGATATAGCTGTACACTTGAGACGAAAATTTACCCCAAAAGTTGGAGAGAATTCACGCACAACACGCCGCACGAAAGCGTGGTCACACTAGTCAGCTTGCTGCCTGCACCTGGTCGAACGGACCGTACCATGTGTGATAATTGTATAGGGGTGCGAACGAGATTAATCATTCTTGCTTTTGATAATTAACCATCACCATTCCGCCGCCAATCAAAAGTGATTATTGTCGTCGCCAAATTTTGGACTTGTTTTCTGTGCCAAATCCAACGATCAGGAGACCTTCTGCTACAGCAAGTGTTATATCCCCAAACTTGTAGAACCCCCTACCCCATTTTAATGTAACGTTACATTATAAGTGTGGACCTCTCCTTGGTGCTGAACTCACCATCAGTTCCATGTATTAAGTATTGCAGTTGTGGCCTCAATACTGCACTACTAACGTTTTGTTTGACACAACAGTACACCCATGGAAAAGCGAGGGATTGATGTATTTTAGTACATATATATAGTATACTGAAGCCTGTATATCAGCAAGATCTTTATTTCATCAAGTCACATACATTTTCTGAGGATTAGTAAAGAAAAGTAACAACAGGGTTTACGGAAAAACCTGGGTGCCTGCCAGGCCAGGCTACCACAATATCAGGTATAATTTCTTGCTTAACAAGGTTTATAATGCAAAATGCCAATACCAATGCCATTTAGGCACCATTATAATTCCAAATCTTTCAAGTGTCAATATCCTATAGCCAAACTTCTGTGAAATAAAGAATGAAAACACAAGAATCATGGAAGTTTTCAACTTTTTTTTATTATCATTACGAACGGATCATTTTCCTGCATTTGAATCAAACTGAGATGTTTTCACAACCCTTTTCAATGGCCACAGTACTAGGCTAATACCTATATGGCCTACCAGAAGAAAACTAAAAACTTTTGTTGTTGTATATATTGCATTGTTATGTATGAGCATATGTTATTGGCAGGCATTGCAGAGAAGTATGATATTTTTGACAGCACTTCTAAACTTTACATAGACTTGCTTGGCTCGACTGACATCAGCTATTAACACACATCTCTGCTACATAAACTTAAACACAGCAACTTTCTTCACTTCAAACCTCTACATTGTACATAATTTACACAGGGAATCCACTAACAGTATTTTTCATCCTTATAAATCTGATCTAAGAATTATGGAGATGGAAAAAAAATCAAAGCTATTAAGTTTGATAGCCGCCAAACTTTGGTTCTAACATGTTTTCAATGTACTTGAAAATTACAAAAGGATATATTTGGCTGAGAATTTTCCCTAAAGCATCACATATAACTACTGAAGAACTATAAAAATTCTGAAGAATACAGTAGGAAATACAGAGATCTGTAAATGGTTTGATTTGTCTGCCTACTTTCTGCACTGTAGAACAGCCTACCAGCAAAACCTGCTGTATTGTGCAGGGTTTTGCGAGCACCAATAAATGATTATCATATAATCACGACTGTTGGACCTTGAGTAAAATACAGCAGAGCATATGTCAAAGATGTATACATGGCGTACATAACGGTTACATGTATCAGCATACAACTCTAACAACTATCCAACAAAAATTGACAATGTCCTAACGCATTTTCTAACAGAGCTATCCTCTCTCGATCAATTGGCACGTAGATTAAAAAATCAAAGCTGCTTACATATCCGCTTCTATGGGATCTTTTAGTGGGGAAACTTGGTCCAGCAATATTGCCGCTTTCCAGTTCATTGTCATGACAGCGTTTTCTAACACTACCAACAGTTCCAGTGGTCAAACAGTACACAATCAAAAAATTGATGAATGCTAATTTTTCCCACAGACGTAGGTGACTAAAAATACAACAAATTTACATTTAGGAGGTGGACTACTGAAGTAACGATCCTTTTTATTTGGTGGCTTGGTGCAAGGTGTTGCAAATCGAACAGAAAAGAATGGTCCTAACTGCAGTGTGTTACTTCAACTGAGTAACATACTTTTCTAGAACAAATAATCTCTGTCGAAAGTTCCTGGTCTCCTTAAATTTGTTTCCCAATAGATTCCACAAGGTGTCATTTGAAGCTGAGATTATGTAAAACGCGTATAAAATATCTTTTGAATTCTCTTTGAATGAACAGATCAGAAATATATCTAATAAAACAAAAAGTGCTGAAACGTGCTTAAAGCAAAATAAAGGTGTACAGACTGGCAACAATCCTAAGGAAGGCCCCTGTTATACATTCAACTGCCTTGTATGATTATCCAACTTTTGATTAGACAGACGGTCATGTTGTACCGAGATGTTGCACTCCAATAGGTGTTTGGCAAGAAGGCATCAGTTATTTACCTGTCACGCTGCCATCCTACATAAGTAACACCTCCAGTTTCAAACAACATTTGTCGTTCACAAATTTCACATGTGCGTCTGTCACAGAATCATTATTTGGGTCCATGGCAAGACAAAACTATTGCAAACCCCCTTTTTCTAGACACTCTGCAATGTTAGTTATATTTCACTCCATACCATGGTATGGATGAAATGTATTGTTACTGCTTTGCGAGGACAGCTGGGTTGGACCTTACGGGATGGCAGCGTTGATGTTGACGAGGCCTTGAGTTAACGCATAGCTAATCTGTCTATTCATCTTCTGTAGGCGCCTCTTCTTCTGCTTTTTCTTCTTCTTTCGTTTCTCCCTCGTCTGCAGCTGGTGCCTCGTTCTCTGCCTTTTCTTCTTCGTCCTTCTTGTCCTCCTCCTCCTCCCCCTCCCCTCTGAACTTGATCTTCTCTCCTGCTGGTTGGTCTAGTTTCAGGAAGTCGTAGACTTGTTCGTTCTCCTTGGCCACTTCAAACTCTTCCCAGCCCTGCAGAATTCAAACAACAGCATTTCCTGAAGGTTTAGCAGCAACTATATTTAGCATGAAACTTCATCTGTGTTGGACCAGTCATTATGAAATAAAGACTAAACTTTCCTTCCAACACTGGAATGAACTGGCTCATGTACTAGGTTCATATATACATGTACATGATTATGAAGTGTAAAAGAAATAATGGTAATGGGTTCTGAACGGTTTTTAGCATGATCCATACTTTCTAAATTCTCAGTGGTGCAGGTAAAATTCTTCTGGTGTAGGTAATTTTCAATGTTAACTGCAACATACCTAGCCTGGGTGCCGTATTTCTTAGGGAGTGAGTATGGGAGCCCAGTCATACATATGGCACCCAGACTAAACTGCACTATTGCAGGTATGCAGAAAGACATTTCGAGCACTGTAAAGGTGTGATCATTATGATATCTAATAGAGAAGTAGTAACAATTGCAACTGTAGTATTTTTTTATGTATCTGTAACAGGTGAGTCAGTGCAAGGCTTTGACCTTTAATCTGTGATGTCATTTTCCGCCTTTATTGTAATGACATCATCCCTCCCCAAGGACTGCTTCCCCAGATCTCCCACCCTGTTTATCACCATTTAGCCATCTGTGATCCATGCTAATGGGATTCAAGGCATCCAGTGCAATTTTAGGGCGGTAAAACAAAAATACATTTTTGTCATCATTTCATACTTGAAGCATTTGAAACAGCCCTGAAACAGGGTTATATGTGAGGTGTACCTTTATTTATTGATACCACCGACAAACAGTTAGAACCAGCCTACGATATGAAAAGTTGAAGGAAGTCCTTAGCTTCAGAGTTGTTACAGTATATATTTCCATCCATAAAAATTGGTTTGATTTAAAATTTCAAATTCATTTTTTGGCTTACAAACGAGCTTGGTATGTTGACGTCATGGCTCCTATCATAGCATTTGGGGCTATCATAGGATACCTAGGTCTGTTTTTATCTCTCTTTTTCCCTGTCACTTCATATTTTTTCAGAAAAAAAAATGAGAACCAACAAATCAAATTGGTGTGACCTAAAGCACATGCACCCAGTATTTCGAGCCCTGAACAACTTACTGCCCATCACACCTTTTTTCCCTTCTCCTTCCTCATTTTTCTTTCATATCCATGAAACAGCTAAGTAAACTGGAGGAGCCTCTGTCATTAGCAGACAACTGGGTACCAGGGGAGATGACTAGCATCCCCAGGGACTACAAGACAAGAAGGAACACTACCATCTTTGGCAATGTCTCCATGATGTGCTGAGTGTAATGCACCTGTAATGCACTGGAAATACATTGTAATGCACCACGGATCAGGCACTTAGTTTGGACAAGAGTTGGCCAAGGAAATCTTTAAATTGTTTTTTAATGTACATGTATTAAAATTCCATTCTTCTTTATTCTTTAGAGACGTCTGTTTTTTTAAATAAAAAATAGCACATTTTGCACACTTCTACTTAATATCCCAACACAACTGTCTTCCATTTATTCATACAAAACTTGTTGACCTTTGTCATAATTACAACAAATCTCCTTGAACATTCAGGATGCTTTTCCAATAGTAATTGCCCTACAACACATGATAGATTTTCTTATCACAACAATGTGAAGTGGACTGGACAAACGACAGCTGTTTTTGGTCAGGCCACAGTGGGTTTCATTTAACTTCTGTTCAGGAAGTTTGAATCTTAGCCCAATATCTGTGCTTCTCCGAAGATCTAAAGGCACCCAAAGTGATTTCAGGGCAGTAAAACTGGATTTTCCAAGTCAATTGTCTGGTCATTTTTTTATGAAGTAAATCAATTGTAGTATCTCAGAGCTTAAGCATACTGATGCAAAGTGAGGCAAAATGTACTATCACTGTCCAAAAAAGGTTGCTTGTTTTGTACCGTACACTAGTTCTGGCTATTTATTGGTGATACCAAAAAATAAAGGGACTCCTCATGTAGCTTGTATTAGGGCTACATGTATTTCAAATGCTTCATGCATGAAATGATGACAAAAATGTACTAAGATTAGTAAGAAATGGCAGTAAATGTCAATATCAGACAGCTTTCCCAGAATGTTTCAAGTTTTGCTGCCATAAAAACTGGATGACTTGGTGGTAGGGACTGTGGGAGTGGACGTAAACTAACCAGGATGGTACCCAGGCTTAGGCCCAATTTAGACTAAAAACGGTATACCGTTTCGAAACGGTACGAAACGTTTCGCCACAGAAAACGGTTCGTCTTTAGACACAGAGGCGGAAGCGTTTCGGGCCGCCCGTGGCGCAGGATGTTTCTGACCCACAATGACCTATGATGACCTCCCCAAACCGCTTCTACGGTTTGCCTCATTGGCCTTATGATACTTGTGTTTCAGGGCCTTGAACTTCGCCCGAACCTGCTTTGGGGTGCGTAAATACCCCTCAGCCGCCAGCCCGTCCACAAGCATCTGTATGCCCTCCCTATTACGCGGGATTGTATAGTTTGATCGGCCCACAAGCTGATCAAGCAGCGGATCTCTTCTTGGGTCCAGACCCTCCCCTGGCCTTCTGCCATCCCCCCAGACATAAAGGATGACGAAAATTCGAGAAATACATGATATAAAATGGCGAAAATGGACACAATCGAATTTGGCGCGAATCTACCAGAAAATGGACGCGCGCAGGCTTATTAGCATGTGATTAGCGTATGACACGTGACCTGGTTTACCGTTTCAAGAAACCCTTTGACTTTAGACCTAGCAAAAAGCGTTTCGGGCCCGCTGCTGAAGGGTTCTGAAACGCCATCGTGGTTTTCGGAAACGGTCCGCGAAAACCCATAACAAACCGTTTTTTCCTCTTCCCTGGCCAAAACCCCTTAAGCGTTTCTAGTCTAAATCGGGCCTAACTGTACCTACCCCACAGTACTCTTCTCCGTTGAAGATCTGGGGAGGGAGTGGTTTTCCCTTCTCTGGTTGTTTGCTGTTTGTCCACATGAACTGTCTGGCCTCGTCGTCGATGGACACGTCGATCATCTGGTGTTCGATTTTCATCCCTCCGAGGATGTCCAGTACATCCTGCTGGTGCTTCCTCAACTACAAAACAACAACAAACCACTCAAACAACAAGTAAACATCTTAGAGAGGTTATCGCAGGGCTCTAGCCAGCCCTTTTTTTTTGGCAACCCAGGTTCATGATTGGACCTGGGGGGAGAGTACTCGCTATCTAGGGGGTCCAGGGGCAATTTTGGGATTTTGAAGCCTTTAAAAACACAATTTCCTGCATTTTGATAAGCATTTACCATGGGGTTGAGTGTGGCTGTTGTTGGTCCTTCGGATGTTTTTGTACTCTAACCAAAGATTTTGTCAATTTTTCCATCACACACCATGGAAAAATGGGTGCTGGCTAGAGCCCTGGGTTAACGATTCACGTTGTAGGAGTGACTGTTTTTGTCAAGTAAGTATTTTTCAGTATCCCTCCTAAATACATTTTGAAATGCTGAAAATATACTTTATTTTGCAAACACCCTTGTCTTCTTAGTCTATATAGATGTCAGTTCTTCACTGGTATACTGGGAAAATACAGCACTGAATTGAAAATTTAAATTTTAAGAAATCATAGCCAAATCCATAGTTTATTCTTCAACTTGGAAAGGCTGCTTTCATTTCAGTGCACTTGAAATCTTCCTAGAAGCACTTCTTATGCGTTACTCAATTATTTCATTAGGTTATGCAGTTATATAATTACACCATGTATTGATGCCAAAGCATTACAACAATGGATGCAAATGGACATTATCGGTAAACTGTCAACTTCAATTACAGCTACAAGTAACAAAATCAGCATTGTTCATATCCACTTACTGTAAGCTCTGTAAGCTTAATGTGAATCAAAGCATATCCATAATGAATTATTTACAGCCATAATACAGCACATACAGTACTAATACATCTACAGTATGTCGGCAGAATGTACTGAGCCTACTCAAAACTCAATGAGGTCAATGTGGCATTTAGAGTTTTATCCGTTGCAGTCTGCAGATTATAACTTCTCCGATACAACATTTGAAAACTATGGAGGGGACATCAGCCTTAAATACACAAATTCGAACTTATATGAGACGTCCTACTGAAGCACAATCATATCACAAGTTTCCGCAGGCGCAGTATGTTCTGCCGACATGCTTACATCTAGTAATCACACAAGCCAGACTTTAAAAGACAACAGCTAGCGACTAATATGGCCAGAAGTGATCTATTAGATTGATTTTCTTTGAACAGAGCTAAGGGTATGTACTGCTTTTAGTGGGATTACAACTACTGTGATGGTTAAGTTTCCATTAGCTTTGTAGGACAGGCCTGGGAGGGTAAAATTAAAAGAGCTGTAAGCAACACGCAGACAACTTATTTAACATGACAAATGGCTCAGAACAAGTCCTCTTACTTAACACATACACCCTGTAGTTTACCTTAAGCATTGTGCACTTTTGACTATCACATCACTACTAGTACTAGATTACCCTTCAAATAGATCTAAACAACAAACATCAAAGACAAAAAAGTCTGTGGTTTACTATGAGGTAAATGCAGTGAAGAGATTCTGATGGCAATTAACAATTATAAAATCCTTGGGGATGGAAAGAAATTCCATACACTTCTTACAGAATTGTCTTCCCATGAGGTATGACAAAAAGCTTGTTTTCCTTATCTTAATTATAGATGCACAATATTTGCATATGATTATCCATCCATTCATTACTACAAGATGGTTAGAAGGCCAAGATTTGGGCCACATTCCCTCCTACGTGTCTAGACATACAAGTAGACTGGTGTTTTGGACCCTGCTAACACAATACATATACACCAAAGCACAGAACAGGTGTATTATGCCAGATGGCAGTTCTCAGATCTTAAAGAGTCTGTCATTACGAAGGTACAACAAAACAGTTCCAGACAGCCATGACAGACACTGAGAAGTGAAAACTTGTTGTTTTAGCATCCAGACAAAGAGGAAGTGTGGTCTCTGAACTCTCACTTCTCACTGTTTACACTTGTGATCCACACATGACTGGGAGGGCAAAGAGGTGACGTCAACACCCAAAAACTCTATTGTTCAAGGATAAGGCCACAGCAAGTAACTTTTATGGACGACATCAGGGCGCGCATAAATTTTTGCCTGATTTTGAAAAAAAATTTTTGTTGCCTTCTGAAAGTAGTCAACATGCCAAAATGGTCATAGACGTCTGTTGCCATGCCAAAAGGTAGATGGCAGATAAATATGAAGAGAGGAAACAAGAAAAGGCTCTGATTTAATGTTTTGTTTCTTAGTCTTACTTTGATGCAGTCACGTTTACTGATATGTGATGCTGGCTGTGTATATGTGATGTTCCCACTGAATCAAAAGTATTTGTACAATGATTGAGCCAAAATTTTAAAATGTTGGAACCTTGTTTTACTCGGCCCGCCTTGTTTTTTTCACCCTATCGCATTAGATTTGGAGTCTGCGGAGGATGTCATCCATAAAATTTACTTGCTGTCGCCTAAACTATAATCATGGGGTCTCCAGGAAAAACAGACAACGATTATCAGCAACAATGGTCTACACCTGAGGGCAAAGCATACACTGGGATATGTGCAATGGAGTGAAACTATCAAAATATAAACAGGAATAATGTTTTGAATAATGTCAACACTGTACTATGTCTGTAGAGGCATAATTTGTTGTTGACATCATTTCAGAAATATAAAAATTACATTAAAAGCAAGAGGGTATATCATTAGCTGCTCTGTGGAACACGTAACTCACAGCTGGAGGAAGTAAGGTTCAGATCAGTTCACAGACATTACTACACTTCCTCTATGGACTAATATGGCCCTGTTCTATTTTGTTCTAGGCTTGCTTATCGTCCAATCTTCCACTGTTCCCAGTCCCTTGGGTTGGTGTAAGACGGATACTGCAGACCATATGCAAACATCTGACCAGTTCTATATTATTAGAGTATAAGCTTAGGTTTTAAGGGCCGACATAGGTTTGTTTACAAATATATATGGGAGGGGCCCTCTATAAACTTTGACAGATAACGTACGATTTACATGCATCTTGTCCGTGATTATATTTGATCTGGAAAGACAAACGAAGCACGGCTACGATCTGTGGTCCATGCAAATAATTGCCATTCCAATCCAGGCTCATTGCTCGCTAGGGAGGGGGAGGGGGGCGACAGAAATATCCTGTTCCAAAAAACTTGACGCAGGTCACCTACTTTGAAATCTTGACCTGGTGGGTTTGTTTATCAATAAATGCAATCTACGAAGAGCCAAATCTCAATATCCGTGAAATATTGCTTGCATATGTATTGCAGATGTATTGCATACGAGCTGATCGCATACAGACATAGGCTGTACAGTACGGCCTTGTTTCGGTAGTATATGCGGAAGTTTGTAGCACAAGCCCCTCCCAACATCCTACCTGAGTTGACGCCGAAACGCCAGTTATATAGACCTTGATCACCATCTTCGTCATAGATTACGGAGAGGAGACGCCGCAGCAAGTCCTGCAGACCGGCACGAGCTGAGAATCGGGCTTGAAATGTCGCGGATGGCTCCGATGTCTGGCGGATACAGACAGACTTCTCCTAACCCCAAGATGGACGTTCGCGTCTCTTCACTTCCTGTATTGGTCAGAGCGAGGCTGATTCGGTGACGTCAGTAGCTTCAAATTTCAGCGCGCTTTCTGACGGTCAGAACTTCGAGGATAGAAAGTTTTCAACATTAAAAAAAGTGATAGGAAGTTTAAAAAATCAGATGATGCGATAAACTTGATTTTTAACGTCCAATATCTAAAATTACCGAAGCCACAAAGTTAACTGCACGATATAATAGGTTCGATATCATTGCTGTGAAAAGATTTAGCATCGTTAAAATTATGATCGAACAAATGGCAATAATGATAATCATGATTGAAGTTCAATAAAAGTGATGCAAAAATCACCTCTGTGACATCACAATCAGAACCAGAACATTCTTGTTTGTATTACGTATCAAAACATTCCCTGGGATTTAGACGTGCAGGGAGAAAGGTTTGTGCAGTTCGTTGCAATTTACAATTACTCATTTAATCATTTAACTGAGTTATTATTTATAGCAAGGACATTATATAACAAGTTACAGTATATAATGTCCTTGTTTATAGCATTTTGTTGTGGTTGTAACAACAGAATCTAAAGATCAACAGTGATCTTTGCGTAAGGTCTTTGAAAAACAAGTGATTTCTGTAGGGAAGATGTGTTCATGCAAATGAAAATATCGGTTAAAATTAGTTCTTTTTAGGAGGCAAACAATGTTCCCACTTTGAAATGTAGTATGCGACCACACTGTGATAAGAATATTTAGTCCGACTTCCTTTCTTTCTGGTCCTTACACCATTGTGTAATTTAAATTTACTGCTCAGCAAGCATAAATTTCACCTTTCACACATAAGTCTTCGTCACATCATATATAAACCTTCATCCCTGATTGAACCATAAGTAACGATCACCCCCCTGCATACTCACCTTGGGGGGAAAACGAAGAAAGGGCACCGCTGTCTATTTTGATTCGCCCCGTTATGGGGTCGGCCTTCTCATGTTGCGACCTCTAACGCCCCCATTTGCCATCTGCCATACATCTACAGCCTTTCCTATCCCCGTGCCCTAACTCCATACTCCAGGGTCTACACTGACGCAAAACTCTCTCAAAACAAACTTCAAAATGTTGAGAGAGCAAACTTTCAAAGTGCAGCTAGTAAAGATGCCGCCTTCCCTGTAAATGAAGGCTTTTGTGAAGTCAATGTACGCAACTGTACAGGTTCACGACACCCCCTACCTGTGTGATCGGATGGTTCACCCCCGGTGTTGAGGGCACTGTCCTGCGCAAGAGGCCCGGGAAGTCGTCTGTCTGCCATCATGCCTGCCTTCGTGTCCGAAGCAGCGGTGTCACACAACGCACGTAAGTACCAACGGTACCTTTCCTGGCCTGACAAGACAAACATTATGCCCATGTAGTGATGGCTATGTAGAGGTAGCTACAGATAATATAGTGATCTAGACTGTGGCTTGTGTATTGGTGGATGTCATCATCCTCATGTCCCCTACCACAAAAAGCAAGGTCGAACAATGAGGCAGGCATATGTATTTCCATGATTTCACCCCCAAACCTCATATTTGCTATTAAACAACCAAGGCATTACACACTTAATTGTACCTTAAAATGAACTATAGCGGTTAGATCATTTAAGATTAGAATCACCGTCATAAACAAGATTATGGTGTTATGAAATAGAATATGGATGGCTAGACCGACCAGTATGACATACGTCAAGATTGTTAGCTTCCCATAAAGACCATGTCCTTTTGTAGTCTGTATGCAGTGTGTCTGCCCTGTAACAGTACCGAAATGTCAGCAATGGAGAGACTCTTTCGAAAACATCCACCATTTTGGTAGCTAGCCTGGTCGAACCAATGTCTAGAGGGAAGGTTTGTTTTGAAACTTGACCTTGACTCGTTCAAGCTTAAGCTACAACCAAAGTCAAGAATGTCCATGCAACGCCGCCTCCTATTGACATACTTCAAGCATACAGTCTAGGTACACAGTCTCTACCCAATTACCAAGAAGTGGGCGAGTACGCCCACAAGAAAAACATACACTGACATGTCTGACAGCCAGGCTCGTCTGGCCTGGTCCAACACCCACGCTGACAAACTCATTCTGTAGCCTGGGTGCCAGACTTTTGCCAGGGATAGTCTACCGAAGCTTCTGGGTTCCAGAATGTCCCCGGGGAAATTTTACCACTGACACTCGTGGTTACGTTGTTGCTCAGGGTCTAGCTCCATGGGGGTTGGGTCTGTGTATTGGCCTTGAGGACAGTGTGGCTTCCAGGCTAAGTGTTCTCTAACAGCTCGGTGAAAAAATGACAACAAACAGGAGAGATTAGACTGGAAACGACCAGATATACTAAGCACGTCGAATATTGGGCATTCCATCAGCGTTCCAATGCGTATGTACAATGACTGATGGAATCCTTCACTTTAGGCATATCGTAACCTATGAAAATGTGATAGACATGATAGTGACAGAACTTGTATATTATAAATCGTTTTGTTGTTGTGTTACCAGCATATATCGACCCACAATGGCCGCGTGGGGCGCAGCTCTACCAGCCACTTCCAGGTACATGTACATGCAGTGTTCTTTTCCCAATTCTGTTTGATTCCAACAAAACTAACTTTTGCATAAGAAATGTAGGGTTGAAAAATCAAGTTCTCTTTGTCTTTATTCTTGCATTCATCAATTCAGACTGACAAACAGTGTTTAATTTGTTTGCACCAAAATGTGTCGTTGTCGTTTTCTTTCGCAGATTCACAGATGACACTACACGACAACGCCAACTGCTTGGCGGTCAAAGTAAGAAGATAATTTATTGACTTAATCCTATTAGTGATTTTTTAAAGCATGTTTGCCACGAATAATTCATCCAGCACATGTATGCACGAAACGTGACAAATTAAACCATGGTAGTGGTACATAGGCCAGACTCTTACAGAAATAGCAACAGGTATTAAACGGTTAACTTATATCAAGTCTCATAAATGTACATTGTGTACTTTATGTTACCAGACACTACTCCACATGAACGACCTGGATTTCCAAGTGGTGTCGAGGACGAATGCCGAAGATATGTCTCCCACAGGTACAGTATCAAATCAACTTGCCAGAACTTTGGATTTGCACTTAATTTCATGGATTAAGGCTTGAAATTTTGTCTCCTTGTCATGCAAGGTACTGGGTACAGAAAGCTTGTACGATTTACAATTTTTTGGTGAAAATATCAGTATTATGTTTACCTAAGGGAAACATTGTTTTTGCTCTGTTTCCTCTTCTTCTTCTCCAAACCAATAAGGTCAATGACCTGAACCAGACGTCTGTCACCATGGTAACTAGTCTGTTGGGTAACATCATGTTGCAATTTTGTAACACGAGGGATTTATACCATACACATGAATGTTTTTGAGTAAGAAGTAACAGATCACACCATATGTGAAGGTAAGCATTATGCATTTGCTTTGCAAATGTTACCTTTCTAGTTTTAAAGACAGCTCTTAATATCTTGATACCAAAAACATCACAATACCACCAATGAAAGTTTTAGATTTTTATTTTGCCTTTTCTACCTCCATAATGAATCCTCCCTGCCGTTTTCCCGGTACAGGTAAGGTCCCGTTCGTGCGGGCAGGGGAACATCTGGTGGCGGAGTGGGAGCCAATCAGGGCATTTGTTAATGCCAAGGTAATTAGGAATCTGTAAAAAAAAAGGAAACAGCGTCTGATATTAAAATTTACGGCTTTGAACATAAAATATTTTCGAAACCTCTTCGTGCGGTAACAAAATGTTCGATAATAATGAAAATATATTATTTTTGCGCCGTTTCTTCTTCCTCTTCTCAAATTAAGTCAATGACCCGGACCAGACGTCTGTCACCATGGTAACTGGTGCTGTAGGAGACACTGTGTGATGTTGGGTTACAGCAGGGCAGACCTGGAGCGGCCGCTCACCATATATTATACAGTTGTATATGAATGAGTTAGAGCAATGATGAACAGAGTAGTAAGCTAGACCATGTGAAGGTTAACAATGTGCTTTGCAAACGTTACATCTCTATTGTTAAAGATAAAATTGATGCAAGAAACATGTAATTTTTTTGTGTTCGTGTGCTTGTTTGTTTGACAGAAGTTCAACCTGGGCAGTCATCTGGAGGTTTGGCAGAAGGCCGAGATGAAAGCCTACATGTCATTGGTGGAGAATGTGCTGAAACCGGCAGAGGTACGGAGGTTAACCAACACGCTTGCTGTTTTGAAAGAAAGAACTTGACAACAGTTTAACCTAAGCCATGGGGGTCTGAAGACTGCCATTCGACAAAACTTGAGCTGATTTTCACATATTTTGTAGGTGTACCTTCAACACAAACATATCAAAGTTTGTAACTTCCTTTTGCACCCTCTATAAATTTTACATCGTCGAGCCTTCTCATTTTGGGCTCTTTAACTACAGAAATCCACATAGGGCGAAAACTGTGTACTGATACCTTCAACGCACGTTAGAGATGAAAACTCAGTAAGTCATGTCCTTTAATGCAAGGCCAACGGATGACATGTACACGTAACGTTACATGTCCTGTTACGGTGTCCATACCTGATGAGTGATTTACATGTTTTCATCCCTTTACAGCTATGGTCATCTTGGTGTGACGAAGACACGGCATATCAGGTAAGCACTAGATATATTTCAACCATCTGATAGCAGGGTGAACGCCGTTGTATGGTGAAGTAAAATCTTGGTGATTCTCTTTGAAATCAGTTCAGCACCAAGGACAGGGCATGTCGCAATGACTACTAGTATGACAATTGACATTCGTATATGCGGGCGTCCTAGAGTCAATATCATGTCTTAGTTCAAGGTCACAGGATTCAAGGTCAACTTTCCTCACTTACGTCAAGTGAAAATGAGTATTATCCTGTCCTGTATTAGTCATCTGCGCTGGTGGCGGCAAAAAATAAGTTGATATAACTTGCGTGTGCCGTCACCATGTCTATAGTCATGAAACGCTGGAATAAAGAAAAAAACGTGGTTGCAGGTTACGAAGCCCCGTTACGGGTCGCCCTACCCCTGGCCGTTGAACAGTCTGCTGGCGCGGAGGAAACAGCGGGCGGTGTGGACCATCGTCCGGGCTCTGGGCTGGAGGGACAAGACTGCTGAACAGGTACATCTACATCTACATCTACATCTACATCTACATCTACATCTACATCTACATCTACATCTACATCTACATCTATGGGTTACTGAACAATGCCCTCACCGGACTTCACGTTCAGGTGCACGACATATGCGGCCAGGTGGGGTGCTGGTGCTCATAAAACAAAAAAATCAACTTGAAAAGGACAAGCGAAAACAAATTTGTGCAGTGAACTATGTACATGGCCGCGAACTGGGCCTCCCCAGCCCCGCGCCGCGAAGACATACCTGATTTATAGCTGGGGGCTGGGGAGACCCATGTGCTGGGCCAGCCCCAAAGTACGGACTCCATGTTTCATGTTCAACTTCCAATCAATTTTCAGACGTACACAGTTACAATACCAGAAACCAACATGACTTAAGGCCAATCCTGACTAAATCGAATATGAAACAGTTAACGATAATGTTTAGATGCTCCACATGTAACAGTTTACCTCATTAACAACAGTATTGTCAGTCCCTTCCAACGTTCAAATTGTATTTAAAAAGGATAGAGAAGCCATCTACTATTTGGGTTGCCCCGCACATTATTTGTAATTTTATGTAAGTGTATTGTTGTCTTTTTAGTGTAAACTGCAAATAAACAAAAGTAAACAAACACATTTTGCCATGTGATACACACGATATGATATGGATGTCAGTTTTATAACAAAACACCATCGTACAGTGGAAAAATAGCTTGCTAATTCTCTTTGAATACAGTTCAGCACCAAGGACAGGGCATGTTGGAATTACACCATTGAAAATATATCGTCGGCATTTCAATTCAGTTTCATTCCAAATTGGCTGGCATGTCACATATCAAATGTCACATGAAATATGTCAAATGTTTTCAGACACTGCACACAACATATCATCGATCATTAAAATAACAAATACCTCAGATTGGATTTAAAAACCGTGAATTAAACATCTGTACAAAAAATCATGATACCATTTACCCATAGATACGTAATCTCCAAGCAGATGTCTGACGGTAAATGCGTTATGGTTTTAAAACTGCTCATCTAGAGAGCTAGAGTACTCGGGTCTGACCAATTTGACATACTGTTTTTGCAACCCCGAAAAATCTGCTTGGATATTATATATACGTCCCACTACCAGGACTACAGTGTATCGTGTTGAGATATATATGGAGGATTGCGATTCTATATACAGTATTTTCTATGTGTAACATGTTCTCTTCGGGTATTTTCCTGTTAGGTGTATGACGAGGTGAATCGTTGTTGCCTGGCCCTGTCTAACAGACTCGGCAGCAGTAACTACTTCTTCGGACACCAGTAAGTACACTTTTACAGCCTTAGTAGCAAAACATTTCATACTTTCTGTCAGCAAGGCATCCATTGTATCTGCATAGCCGGTATAACCGCCCTTCGGCGTAACACACCAGCTTCCCAGGCACGCGGCGCGGCGGCAGCTTGCTACATTACACCGAAAGACTTCTTATACCGAACCCTTTAGCATCTAACTCTAAACATTGCTTAAAGCTATCTAATGATAATGATCCTACTGTACCTGGTGACAGCTACAGTTCCACTCTGCGATAGTTCTTGGAAAGAATGAGTTTAAGAACACCTCAACATACATGTTATGAAGGCCCAGCTATTGTTCTGCATCAACCGTGCTCCTTGATGTTTCAGTCAGCCCAACAAAGCCATAAACGGAACAAAGGCCCCCTTAAAGAGACAACAAGCGGAGGAGAAGGAACAGGCACCCGAGTCGGAGAGCCAAAAGAAAGCGCCATCTGATGGCAACAAGATGAAAAGCAAGCTGGGCGGAAGACGCAGGTATGCAGGCCTATATTACACCGTTCTTCCTCTTCTTTTCCAAACCAAAAAGGTCAATGACCGGAACCAGTTTGCCTGTTACCATGGTAACTAGTGTTGGGTTACATCATGTTGCAGCTTTAGAGCAGGAGGGATTTAGACTCCAGTCTTACCATATATATAAATGTGTTCGAGTGAGAATTAACAGAGCAGACTATTTGCGAAGGTGAACATTATGCATTGCAAATGTTACCTTTCTAGTTATTTATCCTTCTCTTAGATGGCCCAAAATCTATGTTGACAAGCAGCAGTCAGTGGAGGAAGTGGAGTTCGTGGAAAAGACGTACGAAGAGGATCTGGACGGCATCGTGACGGAGTCGGTCTCCACGTCAATCGTCGAGCAGAGGCGGGACCAGAAGGACAAGGGAGGCGCCGCCGACTCTCTCCGGGCCGCGCGCAAACCGAACGGGATCGTCGGCAGATGGAACCCCGAGGGAGCTGTGGAGAAAAGCAATCCTGATGAAAACGCGTCCCTTGTAGGCCGGGAGAACCAGATCAACTCTGCTGTCAAAGCGGAGAAAGAGTTGCAGGCACAGGCGGGCCAGAAGAATGTCGTCAAAACGCCACAACACAACGGTTCTGTCGTCAACAAAGACGGAGGCGACGGGGAGGATCTGGGCGCCCAGAAGACGGCCAACGGCACGGTGTCTCCTCGGCAGAACGGGAAATACATCCCGCAGAGCAGTAGGGATGTGTTCGCTATGGTACACCAGGAGGAGAGGGACGACGGCACCAAGTAAGTCATACAGGTCTTGTCGAGTCTAGAAGAACAAATATACCTGGAGTTTATTTGGACGCTTCGAGCTCATTCAAGTTCTTGTCCTTCATACAGAATGCATCATGATAAAGAGCTTATAATAAAGAGACACTTTAAAACCTACACATTTCCGCTATAGATTAAAAGTCGATTTTATAAGTAACAAGAAAAAACTCACACAATCAAATTTAACAGTATCACAGATATTAGAGATGTAAGACTGTTTTAGCGTTTCTGTTTGTTGCTTTGTTAACAACACATATACGTACAAGGGTGCTCACCTTCCTGTACATTATTGAACACGAACATTTGCGAAAATTGTCTTCTCATTCCGTTGAAAATGTCGTTTTCTTCATGATAATGCCGATTTGCACGGGGCAAAAAATTATTTGTCCTGCGTCGGCGACTGCGACGCCGCGCGTCGATTTTCTTGTGGTGCACCCTGGATGTGCCACGGGAAAATCCACGCGCGCGGAGGCTGGCTTGTTTACACGCTCAAAAAATCTGTCTCACGACACATGTCGCGCGCCGTTTGACGCAGGACAAATGATTTTTTTTACCCCGTGTAAATCGGCCCTCTGTCTTAACCACCAGGCCCACGGAGCTGGACGCGCTGGTGTTCGGGCACCTCCACTCCCTCCTGACGCCGGACCTGAGCCACCCCAGACTGCAGCAGGCCGTCCAACAACACGACAACCTCGCCGCCTTCTGCCACAGGGTCGCCAGGAAGTACTTCTCCCACAAGCGCGATACACTGTAGCTGACAACAACTTCGTCTCTGAGTAGATGTATAGGGTTCGGGTCAGTGTTTTACACGTGTTTTTAGAATTTTTTGTACCTCTTTCTAGTGATCCGCGTTGAATGAATAAATGAATCTTTATTCAACAGGCAGACTTACATACAGCCTGAATTTTGTTGAATTTACAAGCAGTTTTTAAAATTTACATACAAAGTAATACAAACATTATTCATTAAACATGAAATACACTTATCGTAAAAAGTTTCATCTAGAAACGCATGCACTGGTCAGGATTAGTGCATAGTGCATATACACATAAAATAAATACATTGTGTCGTACTGTGAATACATTTACAATTTCTCTCTTTCTGTGGGATATATCTATATGTGAAGCGATAAAAATGCGGACCACTAGTACTACAAAGAGGTACAAAAAGACATACGAAAACACACGTTAAACACAGACCCTACATTTGCTTGAAGATAAAGACGACCGGTATACCAGGACATCATGCGATGCTCCCTGATTTTCTGTTTACGGTTTTCACTATATCTACAGATCATGGCTGGCTACCGTGAGATGATAAGCCTGGTTTAAAATATGAACGTTACTACATTTATGTAAAGCGTTGGAGAAGCCTGAATACAAGGCCAATGTTACTTTTAAAAACAATTCAACATCTACAAAGTTTTCGTTTGAATAATCAACGGAAGTTTTAACATGATAACGCTAATATACATGTAGAGTATATCTAGTTTTATATACATTGACACAATGGCAAACACGTAATACCTCTATAATATGGACCCACGTGAATCGGAGACGTATGTATATTTTTGGATGCTAGAGTATTGGCTAGTGCAGAGTTTGCGGACAAAATCATGTCGGAATCATAATACAAAACATCACTTTAAAACGCTGTTCACATGTATGTACATAGTCATAGATCGAGATGACAGCCCGAAAGCTGGTTTATCGTTGCTGATTTTTGCAAAGAGTTTCTTCACTATTGATAGTCAGATTCTGGTTCGCGTTTATATTACTTTGTTAAGCACTCTTATCCAACCTTGCAATGAAAATTTTACCGAGACACTCTGTAGTCGTCGGAGTGAATGTTTTTGTTGTCAGATATGTGTTTATTTTGTTGCTAGCTGAGGATATCAATTTGCTGCAAACACTGAGTACCGAGGTAAATCGTCACATTTCATGTGGCACTTGCCTAGTGATTAAACTTTATGGATGTTACTATCAATATGGCTTGGTTATCTTTGTCCAAAATCTGTTAATAAAACAGTAGTAACGAAATATCCCACACTTGTTCTTGTATAAGGCCACACGGATTTAATTTTTTTTTATCACATCCGCGCGCTTATTGATTTTCGCCTGTTCTAAAAAAAAACAATCATCACCTCTTCCAAGGCTTTAGTTTGAGTGCCAACCTCCGTAGTTCATGGTACTATTGGTAACTAGCAACAACAGGGAGCCGGCGGTAACTACGGAGGATGGCACCCAGGCTACCGACGCTCTACGGAACTCAAGAACTCAGTACAGTGCCGACTCATAAATGCCGCAAAGGCCCGTGTGGCATTCTTGTCGTAAAATTCGCTATGTACTACTGCAAATTCACAACACCAGCTTTGTATTCCTGCGGTTTAGCAGCATTTTTTGGGGCTGGATTTTTTTCGCCCGCACGCACTAGTTTTGTAGTCTTCAGAGGATGTCTTCCATATTATGGTGGACAACCTTCCGCGCCTTTGACAAAGGTATGTTCAGACAAGTCACAATGGAACACAGAACAGCGCTAGCAAATTCTAAAAGCCTGTTCATTATCATTCTTCTCCGAGCCATGCAGTTTTTTTTTTCATTGGTTCAAGGATGTCGTCTGCAAAAGCAAGCGTGCTAAAATGTCACGTACAAAAAACGAACGAAAAAGAGACAATGAACCATGGCGACCTGTCCATTAGAAGGTGCTTTTCTTCAGTGGGGGTATTTGGTACATTGAACACTTCAACTAGATAAGGAATGGTAATTCTTTGAAGATTGCTCTTCAGAGGCGTCTTACACAAATATACTACCTTCACAACTATACCAGGCTTCAGAAGCGGCTGGAAAGTGTAGAGGCCAAATAGACAGATAGCCAAAGTACTAGTAGTTAGTCCGCTAAAGGAGCTAGCATGGTTTATTGTTAAGCTAAATTTTGTAAAGATAAATTGTCGATCCTAGTAACGTCAAGTCACGTTTGACAATCTTTCTAGCCGCCTCTGATGCCTACTAGAGGCCAGCCTCAACTGGCAAATGTTTTTAAGTTAAACATGGCTCAATAATACCACTAGCAACAGAGACGATAGTCTAGATTTGTCACACTGGGCAACCTGTAAATTACCTGCTATTCCCAGTCTCGCTGCTAATGGCTAGCCTCCACCAGGCCTTTCTACGGGAATATGGATCGTAGAATTCGGCAAAAAAAGAGAATAAAATGGGCCAAGGGAGTCCGGCCGCGGGGAGGTAGTTTCTTTCCCTCCGGCTAGTCAAACCTACAAGGCGGCCAAACTCCCCTGCATTATATTCTCCTATATATAGCCAGCGTAGTTAGTCTGGTAGAGACTAGGTACTGGCGAAGTGAGGCATACCTGTGGCGGTAAGCACATCTACCATGATTGTAGCATTAGGCGTGTTTATTGGTCCGCAGGAATCACTCAATCATCAATTTGGCGAGGCAGTCCGCCGTTACCGGGCTGTGTTAGGGGTAACGTCACGGAATCAAACAACAGGCCGACAGCGAGAAACAAAGGTAGTGTTTGGATAGGCCACGTCACGGTCCTCCATACACGGGTCAGCAGGTAGGGAGCCTGTACTCAGGCACATAGTACAAGGCATGAACCGGAATCATGGGCTCTTAAGGGGGTTCATGGTTAACCCCAAACTGAGAGGAGGTGTTCTCGATTTCCAGGTCCAGTATTCGGTTACTAGGGCGTCGGCTTGAAAGTTGTTTCGTAGAAACAAAATCATGAATTATCGCGTATTATGCATATGTACCACCCAGTATATACTGACATACGGTAAACTTTTCGTGCTTCTAACGGGCATGCTTGTCACTCTCCAATCAGAAGTTTGTGGGGAAGATTGTTACCTTTCTAATATGCCCCGTGTTTTCTGTTGGTGCGGGTAGCGACAGAAATACACGGGGAATATTATAAAGGTAACAATCTTCTCCACTAACCTCTGCTTGGAGAGTACATGCTTGTATCAACCAAACATGAGAACTGATGGTAATTCGGATACGCATAAAACCCCCATCAGAACCTCTGCACTTGAAGAGTCAAAATGGTGGCTTGTTGATAGCGACGCCGGTGGTCGCCCTGTACAGATCTTCAACATCACTATTCTACCACCACATGAGGAGAACATGGTAAAAGTACCTTCGCTACGGTCCTGGCAGTAATCCCTAACAAGGATTTGCCTTCACGACTCAACGTTCTCATCGTATTACGCGGTACAAGGTACGTCCATTCATAGCGTTAACTATTAAAGAAAACAACAGACCGATTTGTGGGTCATAATCACCCATTAAATACACGCCAGTCGTCGATATGATTATAAGCGTATAATAGTATCTTTGCGTGGAATTACGTCTGTAGTTCAAGCTTGTTTGTCGTATCTTTCTGGCACATTCTAACCAGGCTTGGCCAAGTTGGGAAAATGTTAGATCATGCATGTTAGCCTGTTGAAGACAGGTGTGCAAACGTGCTCAAGTGACGTTTGAATGGTCTAAGTAGGCACGGCAGACAAACACAAGTTGTTTAATTCCAGCTATGTTATTTAAGAGTGAGTCGGAGTATCATAGCGACATATTCAGTCACAAGATTCGGAGCTAGGGCAACGTCGCTAAGATTTTCGATTCAGCAATGCTGGCCAAATTGCCAAGAGGATACATGCTCTGATAAATCTTTACACGTCGTTCATATGGTTAGTTTTTCACTAAAATTAAGAACACTATATAGATTTTTTTTAACGGAGTGGTTCAATGCAAGGCCTAAACGACCACTTCTCGGCATTGAACTAGAAATATGAGAGAAACATGGCTATGTCAAGAGATGGCGGTGAACGTTTGATTTGAAGGCCTGTAGATTGTAGCATGTAGGTTGGTGGGAAACACTTGTCAGGGAGGGAATTCCAAAGCTTGGCCGTACGGGGAAAGAAACTGTCACTGTAAAAAGATTTCGAACAAGGAATTTGGACGGTGAATAGATAACAACAGAAAGTTAACAACATAATAAAAAGAGATAATATTCCAGAAATCCGTATATCTGCTTTAATATCACGAAAAATATGCACACACAAAAAAACTAGAAGAGGGTCCTTGACATAAGCTGGTAGCTCCATTGTTTATGAGGCAGTGCTTTTAGGCACAAAAGAGGGAAGGCTCTTAGCCGTTCCACTCTTAGGCATTAGCGACAAAACATTAGTTGCATTTGTTTCCCTTTCGCTGTTACGGGCCGGAAAATTGAGGGCAGTTCATTCAAGTTTTCCACTAAGTTGTGTTTGCTTTGGCTTCATGGTGTTATATATGACTGAAAACCCACACGCAACAGCAGTCTATACATGCTGGACTTACACTACAGAAAGATAGCGCTTTAGCCAAATATGTAGCGTGACCCTCTTGTGTTCCGGCGTTAGGTGGAACGTGTGGAGTTGATAATCCTTCTTGACGCCAGTTAAAAGTTGAAAAAGGGAACAAAGGCTTACCCAAACATTCCATACGAATACATTCACTAGTGCGAAACAAACTGGTTGAATCTTAAAAATATTACTGAAACTTTTGTACAAATTGACAACCTATTTGTCTATCTGATTGCAGTGAGGACCGTGCATGGACACGTCGATTTCAAATGGACACCTGAAAACGCGTGGAAAATATATTCTTGGACCTACACATCCAAAGGGCGACAAATTTAGTACTTTGTACATGTTGTAATAACACCGCATCTTGTGGCCACTTGAGCGATGACGTCACACCAGAAGCCGAGAGTGGTTCGGTACCTCGGAACCCGTCCGACCGGAACGGAGTCGACGTCGCCGAAGAAACCCGAGTCCCTCCGACTGCAGAAGCTGAAGTCGGGCAGCCAGTCAGACTACATCGAGACGGTCACCGAGGAGAGTTCCAGCATGTCGTCCGCGGCGTCGCGCAACCCGTCCGAGGACGAGACCACGGCCGATGGCGGGAATGTAGAGACCACAGCCGACGGGAAGAGGTCCTTCCAAGTGTTGAGCGTCAAGGGACAAGCTAACCAGCCATATTCGCTGCCCAAAACCAGGAAAAAGGAGAGGCGAACCGACAAGCGAAGGCCCCAAACCCACCCACCGGAGGTCGTCCAACGCCTCCTACAGGACCGAGCTGTGAAAATAACGGACTTGAAGAGCCAGGTGAAGTACTTGAGAGGTAAAATAATCGACGTAGATCACGAGAACGAGCTCTTGAGGGGGGTGTTGAAGAAACAGAAAGCGGCTCTGACTAATTTTGAGTCGCCCGACAAATACTTCGCCAAGATGATGCAGCAGCACAAGGACGATGTCAGGGACCTGCGGGGAGAAATCAGGGAGGAAAACAAGGGACGTGAGCTGGAGAAGGAGATCAGTGAGAAGAGTCAGCAGCTGTGGGAGGCGAACAGCGAGGTCAGCCGTCTGGAACAGCTCATCGAGAAACAACTGCCGGAGATGGAGGAAGGTCGTCGGAGGCTCGCCAGCGCCGAAGACAGGCTACTCCGTACGACTCAAAAACTATCCACTCTGGAAAACGAGATAGAAGCAGCCAGTGCGTTTGGCAGAAAGAGATACGTGGCAGAAGTGGTGAAGCACAGGGAAACACGAGAGTCTGTGACGATAATGGAGGAGGAGTGTGAGAAGATTAGGCTGAGAATACGTGAGCGCGAAAAGGAGCTGGAAATTAGGAACATCTACCACCAAAGGATACAACAGGCGCGGAACGGCGTCTCCAAAGCAACCACCACGGACGACCTGCGGGAACACGCCAGGCTGTGGCGGGAAGCCGAGGAAAGGGAGCGCAGAGAAGCAGAGGAAAGGAAAAGACAGGAAGAGAAGAAGCGAAAGGAGCTAGAAGATATGAAACGCCTGGAGGAAGCCAAAAGACAAGCTGAGATCGACAAGAAGAAACGGGCCGAAGAGTTAGAGAGGAAGCGACAAGAACAGGAGAGACTGAAACACGAACAGGAAGAGAAGGAAAGAATGGAAAAAGAACTCAGGGAACTGGAAGAGAGGGAGAGGAAGGAAAGAGAGAAGAAGACACGAGAGGAGCGCAGGAGGAGGGAGAGAGCGGAGAGAGACGCACGGGAGAGGAAACGACGGGAGGAGGAAAGGATGAAGAAACTTAGAGCCAGGCAGAAAGCGGAAGAAGATGCCCAGAGGAAAGCTAAGGAAGAATCCGAGAGAAAGGCCCTGGAAGAGGCCGAGAGAAGAGCCCGGGAAGAAGCCGAGAGACGTGCCCGAGAGGAGGCGGAGAGACTAGCCCGAGAAGAGGCCGAAAGGAAGGCCCGTGAGGAGGCTGAGCGCCAGGCGCGTGAGGAGGCTGAGGAAAAGGTGAAGTACCTCCAAGCACAGCTGAGAAGGGTCGAGACATTGATCAAGGAAAAGACAGAGGAGTCGCTGAAGAAGAAACAACACAAAACCAAACGTACCTTCAGAAACTTGCACGCCGGCATGTCCTCACAAGGGCCCCTCTCATCAAGTAGGGGCGCCTCGAACAAGACCAAGTAAACCATGTGAAGAAACCTGGAGAACTAAGAACGTCGTTTGCGAATGCAAACTGAGATGAATGAAACGAGGGCAATTCTCGACACCCAGCGAAAATCCTTCACGATGTGTACGTCTGTACCAGTATCTGCAAGCCGTACTAGACGTCTATGGTGTTTCCAAGCTCTCTATGAAGGGTTTAAAAAGCTGTATTTATACAAGAACATAGTCTACGACTTACATAGAAAAGTGCAACTGAAAACTACACTATAGAATGGTGTGCCAAAATAGTGTCAAGTCGCCTTTGTGAAGTCAGTATTGGTACAACCAAGTAACAAAAGTAAAAGGAGCTGCTTGAGTGAAGATATGTATACTTGAATTGTGATAATGTCAAGCACAGCTAGAGCTGCTTTCAAAAGTCTCTAGAAAGTCAAGTGCGAGGGAAAGTGCCATGTAAGTGTTCATGTATTATAATAAGTTACCATGACGTTTTGTTCAACATGAAAGAATGTCCTCTACATTTGCGTTCTTGGATCATTTGTGTGTTGACTTCATTTTTGGGGTGACCAGGAACAGGGGTATGTAGTTCACATTTAATGAACTTCTGGGTAAACATGTTTAGTTCGCCCATGTACATGTAAGTCTCCTGCTAGTAGTTTAGGCCATGTTGATTTGATTATATGGATGACATCCGCGCGCGCATGAGTTTTCGGCCGTTTCAAAAAAAAAAGTTTTCAACCATACTGTAAATCGTACAAAACAGTTGTAAAATGAGCAAATATATACCGTAAGTTGCAAAAAAAAAAAAACATTGAAAAACGATACCAATGTCGTAGAATGCCAAAATCAAACGAATAGACGAAAATGTCAAGAAATGAATTTAAAGAGATTTTTCACCATACCATCATTTGTTCAACCTTCATGACCACCTCAACATGGTCTTAGAGACACAACAGATCTGGCAGTCATTGGTATGTGTGCTCAAAGCAGATGTTACGTGGTGAAGTCATGATACATTTCATTTCTAACAGTTTTCTCACTGTTGCTTCCTATCCCATTTTTAACATCGATAATAATGATAAAACCTGCTGGATTTGGAATAAAATACTCTCCAAGCAAAGGTTTGGGGTTCGGCTTATTTTCGGTGTGTTTTAGGCGTTTTTATTGGATTTCCTATTTTGTATTAGTATTTTTTTACGCCAGCATAAACCGTAACTGCCTGGCCAATTTGATGTTGTCTCTGCAGCCACCAAAACATCTGCTTGGAGATTAGGAAAAGACAGGAATTTAGTACTTTTTCTGTCGCTCATCCGCCTACATTTTGTAGTTACCATTTAAACATCTGCCAGGTCTTAGAGCAGTACATTTTTCAAAACGTATAACCTATTATTTCCTCCATGATTCAGAATCCCTCCGAAAAACTTGCTACACAGAATATGCTTGTCATCAAGAGTTTAATTGCACTTTTGCAACAACCAAGTACTAAGTAGTAGGATTAAGAAAAAAATATATCAACGCACTTCTTTTTCAAGGCTCTTCTTAGTCAATATGTAAATGTACTATAGATAAACAAAAGTAACAACTAACGTAAACTACAAGGTGTCCAATGAGTCCTTAATAGTTGCTAGAACACCCCTTTAATATATTTGTTATCTTCCTTTTCTTCCATTCCAGTTAATCTCAGGCAAAAACAAATATATGAAAAATAGATCCTCTGCTCTGTTCTGTATCAAAAATACTTTGCAGCATAAATACTGTGCATTGTAGCATCTCTGGATGCAATACTGCACCCAAAAAAAATTCTCTGAGATGTCATCTTTCAAACTTCTTGTATCAAAAATAACAAAATCTTTCCACTTGTATCTTACAAGTACAGTAGTAGCAGTAACAAAATAGTTTACTTCTTGAACTTTAGACCACAACTGGGCCTTATTGAATCCTCACTTGTGATTGCCTTTTACTTGGGATATTCTTGCATCTTCTTCCATACTTGGCATCTCAATAAATATTGTTAGGTTTATACACAACTCAAGTTGAAACAGAAATTCCAAGAAGAACAGTTTAAAGCTTTCAGTATTGCAAAGTGGATCAAAACAAAATGGAAACTTGTATCTTTTTAATGGTAGTTTGTCCACTGAAATTAAATTTTTTGTCTTTACCATGGAATGTTACAGGTACATTTGTACATACATGTACTACAAATTAGTACAATGTAGAACTGAAGCTGCAGTTCTCACCACTGCTGCCAGGGGGCACACTTGCCATGGAAGATATTGATTCCTCCTTCCACCTTGTCAGACAGTTCTGCCCAGAAGAATGCCTTACAGCACATCCACCCTTCACTCTCAACCTTCCTCCTGATGTCTGCATAGCCTATACCAAAAATTATGCCACAATTAATAAAAAATGAAACTACATTTAATTTCTTTTGGAGAGCAAATGATGACATACAGGGGTTGAAAAAGCTAACATACAGTAAGGAAAAAATCAGTAAGGCCACACCGATTTAATTTTATGGATGACATCCTCTGAAGACCCCCAAACTAGTGCGCGCGGGCGAAAAAAATAAAAATCCGGCCAAAAATAAAAATGCTAGAAAACCACAGGAATACAAACCTGGTATTGTGAATTTGGCGCATTACATAGCGACGTATACGACAGGCCGACACATGCTGGATTTTTGCGGAATATATGAATCGACACTGCTGTACGTATGTACTGAGTTCTTGAGTCTTGGAGCTTCGGTAGCCTGGCTGCCGTCAACCAGAGTTATCACCACCATGCACTACCCAGGCCTAAAGCCAGGCCAGAGCCTCGGAATACGTGATTCTTTTTTTTTTTTTGAGATCGGGCGAAAATTAATGCGCGCGCGGATGTCATCCATAGAATTAAATCGGTGTGGCCTAATTTGAATGATAGGCTCTGTGAACTCTGTAAAAATAACTGTATAGAAGATGAAAAACATTTTGTCCTGGAATGCCCATTGTACAGAGATCTACGCCTCTCTCTTTTTAACAATATCAAACTGGGCCAGAGATTTACAAAGTTAACAAATGA